TAGGGCGGTTTGGCTCAACGGCGCCTCAGGAGCCCGCCCTGCCTCCGCTGTAGATCCCCGGTGAAGTATTCACCGAGGATCTTACTACTCCCGGGCGCAGCTGCCCACCCGGGAGGCCGGTTGCCGTACTGGCATAAGGGACCCGACTGCCCCCGCGGTGAGGTCGGTTCACCCGCACCGGCTGCCCTAAGGACAGCCGGGCGCGCTCGCCTTCCTCTGAAACTCTCGGGTGCCGCTGCCCACCCGAAAGACCGGTACCATACTGGCATAAGGGATCCGGTACGCTCCCCTGCTGTAGGCGCCATTGGGCTTTCCTCCCTCTCTGAAGCGAGAAGGAGGGGAGCTCTCCGGCTCCTGATACTCATGGGCGCAGCAACCCACCTATGAGAGCCTTTTAGTCGCCTTTTACGACACGCAGGCCATACGTTGGGGGTATTCTTTACGTCCGCCACCCACGCGGACTAGAAGGGCGGTATACCGCGGTGTTCCTCAGGGGTCCGTGCTAGGACCCCTATTATGGAACATCGCGTATGACCAAGTTCTTCGCCTTGCCCTTCCCCCCGGCTGCACCGTCGTCTGCTACGCAGACAACACTTTGGTGTTGGCCGGGGGCAGGGCCTGGCGGAATGCCCTGGAGTTGGCCCGTCTGGCGATGGACCAGGCGGTGAACTCCCTGAAAGCGATTGGCCTTATGGTGGCTCCCCTTAATACAGAGATGCTGTTTATGCATAATCGGTCAAGGGGGAGCCACCAAGGGCCCGGATCCGGTTTGACAACGTTTCCGTGAGGGCGGGTCTCACGTTAAAATACCTTGGACTCGTCCTGGATGGCAAATGGGAGTTCCAGAAGCATTTGGAGCTTCTGGCCCCCAAGTTGGGCAGGGTGACCAATGTGTGGGGTGGCCTTCTATCCAACCTTGGCGGCCCTAAGAGGAGGGCACAGCGACTGTATGTCGGCGTCGTCCACAGTATGGTCCTCTACGGGGCCCCGGTCTGGGCGAGCTCGATGGCGACCAGCCAGCGAATAATCTCGCTGGCACACCGCATTCAGCGGTGGGTCGCCATTCTCCTCGCCCGGGCCTACCGGACGACGTCGCATATGGCAGCCACGGCCCTGGCTGGTCTCCCCCCGCTGGAGCTCCTTGCTCAACTGCATGCCGAAAATTATCGGCGTGTCAAGAGTCTCCGTGCTGGGGGACACCTGGAACATCTGGCCAGGACCATCAGGCTAGCGAAAGACCAGACCCGTCAACGCTTGAAGTGGAGCATCCACCTGGAGAGGGCGACGGGCTGGTCGGAAACGAGGGTCGCCGAGGCCATCCGGCTCTGTCTAAAGGAATGGGTAGACAAGGCCCGCGGGGAGTTGTCCTTCCAGACAACGCAGGTACTCACCGGACATGGATGCTTCGGTGAGTACCTGCATAGGATAGGTATGAAGCTCACCTCCCGCTGCCACCACTGTGGTGACGAGGTGGACTCGGCGCAACGCACCCTCGAGGAATATTCCTCGTGGGTAGTCCTGATTGATGTGGTGGGAGCGGACCTCTCTCCCCCGGCCCTTATCAAGACCATGCTTGGGGAAGACGAGGGCTAGTCCGCCGTCACCTCCTTCTGCGACGCAGTTATGGCGCAGAAGGAGGAGGCGGAACGTATGAGGAGGGGCAAAACCGCCTCTCGGGACGGGGTGAGGCGCCGCAGGAGAAGGGCGGCGCCTCACCTACCCGCGCATCAGCGCGGGATCGAGGGGCAGCGCACCCGTGGGCGGAGAGGGGACGTCACTGCTGGCGTTCCCTCCCCCGGGGTACCTGCGGGTGCGCCGCCCCCCTCCCTCCCCCAAATGCCGCCGGGTCTTTCTGTTCGACGGGATTCCCGGTCCGGGGGAGATAGGAGGCGCCTGATCAGGCGGGGGAGGCGTGTCGCAAGGCGCGACTCCCCCCTATGACAAGGAGTCAGACCAGGCGTCTCCGGGAGGGGAGCAGAGCGGCCGGTTCGAAAGGGCGGACTCTTAGGCCGCCCACCCCCCTCCCAGAGTTCGGGGGTTGCTGACCGAGGGGGGCGGAGGGTTATATAATCAACCCCTCTGCCACCTCAGTCGGGAGCGTAGGGGCGCGCTGGGTCCGGACGGGACCAGACCCGGCCAATGGCGCCTCTACAAGTGAGGTGTGACCGGACGAGGAGGCCCACGTTCGGTCATAGAGGATTGATGACACGGGCCGAGAGGGAATAACGTCCCTCTAGGCCCGGGAAGGGGGCGGGGTTTAGGTTTTTCCCGCCCTGTGGCTGAGGGCATCCCGGAAGTAATGCGCAAGCGGTTTCCGGGACGCCCTCGCAATGCCGCAAGGGGCCCGGCAGAGGTTTTAGTGGGTCGGCCCTTCCCGGACGGTTAGTTCCGGGGGGGGGGAAGAGTCCCACACTACCCTTGGGAAAGTCGCGTATTTTCCGGGGATGTGCGTAAAGCATTTCCTCTGCCTAAACAAAAAAAAATATACCGTTCGATTTTGGGTAAGATTTAACGTTTTGTAAGTGTCGGATGATGTTCGAATCAATAATGGCACCACTTTTGAATTTCGGTCCTCTATATTGAATCCGCCATTTTGAATTTTGAAAATCTGACCCCCAATTTGTATTCAGCGATTTCCAAACGTTATTCTCACATCCATAATTTATTATGACGTCAACACGTTCAACCTCTTCTGACTTAATTACAGTAATTTTAACCACTGAATTTTTATTTCAAAAAGGATAAGTTGTTTCAAAAAATCGCAAGAGGGCATTTGTATTTAAATTCTGACGTAAAATATGACCATATTTTTTTCAAAGTCAAATTTTGAGTTTCGGTTTTTCAGCCGCCATATTGGATCTACCATTTTAAATTTTTAGAAATTCAACATACCTGATGTAAAGTACACCAATATGTGCACAATTTATGGAAAACAAATTTTTTTTTCTTTGTGATATTATACGTCTTCTTACACGATACATATTTTTTTTCGGGAACTTTTTATATTCTTGGCGCCGTAACTGAGTCCGCCATTTCAAAATTTCAAATATTGTACACAGCATTCGAAAGTAGACTTTTTAAGCTAAATTTTAAGCCCAAGCACAATTTTTTTGATGCACATTGTTCAAAATCAGATAAAGAAAAGGACAATGCGTTTACTGTTGATATCGCGTTCGGAAATATTCTGAAGGACTCTCGACGCTTTACATAAGTGAGCTGTTAGATTCCTTCAAAATATTTAGCGGCTTAAGCCGTTGCGATCGCTGTGATCAATCACGTGGCGGATGCGTGATCTCGGCTCGATTCGCTCTTCGGCCGACGCGCTTCCCAAACCTCACGTGCGTTGATTCGGCATATCAGAAACTCGATTATGTAAACATACGTTTTAGCAACCGATTTAGCAAGGTGATACTCAAATTCAAAGCGACCAATAACGTCTCGCCATAATCGGCCGTTAAACAGTTAAATAACTCGCAAACTCTAAGGCCAGGCAGACTGCGACTAATTTTCAAATAAGTAACAGTTTTTTCGGTCGAAGTTCTCGCACGTTCTCAATTTCTCATTTTCATCTTACAATTCGTTCGCTCTCAAGAATCATATTTCGCGTGCGTAACTCGTGCTTTGAAAGCACATACGTCAATTTTGTTAAATTTATTGTTAATTGAGGAAGTAAATAAAGTTGCCTAAAACTCAAGATACATCGCCTTCGTTATTACTACGACTTCATTTCTCAATTTGGAAGAGAATTTGGCTTGTAACCAGCAAAAAAAATCACGGCGCTGTAACTGCGTGCGTGAAGTGTGTGTCTTCACTCCCGCAAGTCCACGAATTGAAATCAAGGTAAGGAGAGTCACATACACACATAAATTGAGACCGGTGGTCGTGTTCACAAATTTTGCCCCATATATATATATAAATATATATATATATATATATATATATATATTTATTTATATATTTATATGTATATATAAAATGTGTATGTATATACAGGGTGTCTCACACTCTCCTCCGGGCATTTTATGGAGACGTAGAACAGGTTGAGGTAAACATAAAAGTCCTATACCATTTTGCGATATTCGCAATAATTATCGAGATATTAATTGTAGAAAACTTGTAAATGATCATGCAGAATATGGTAAATGAGTTATAGAAGCGACGACTGCCGTCGTGTACTTATACTTTAGGTGAAATTGAACAAAAAAGTCCTCTACCATTTTTCAAATAATCACATAGATTTTTAATTATTAATTAAAGAAGATGAGTACCTTATCACGCAAAATCATGCAATGATCTTCTTTAATTAATAATTAAAAATCTATGTGATTATTTGAAAAATGGTAGAGGACTTTTTTGTTCAATTGGACCTAAAGTATAAGTACACAACGGCAGTCGTCGCTACTATAACTCATTTACCAGAGACACCCTGTATATGTGTATGTATGTATAGTCAAAGATCATAGTGCGAACGTTTCTAAAATTGTCAATGTGCAGAACAACCTAACGTTTTAGATAAAACTTAAAATAGTTTTCTGTTTAAGCTTTTGATTTTTATGTTTTAATTAATTTTAGGAATAATTCTAAGAGAAAAATAAAAACATCAGTCGTGACATCTAAGACGCGATATCTATTAAAAACAAACATTTTAACATGTTGAGGATCAATATCCGTAAATAGCCCTTAGAAATATCATACTAAGAATCATTGATAATTACTTAGTATTTTTAATACTGAAAATAAGTAATTATCAATGATTCTTAGTATAATATTTCTATAAGGGAGTGGTGATGCAAGAACTTTGATTTGTGTTCTTGGCCTCCAAAATATCCAGAAGTATGTCTCAAAGTTAATCTTGTAGATATATTACTGGCATTGAATATGGTAATATCGTATTAATGATACTTTAACTCACTGGTCGTTAATCAGCGACATCGTTCACGCGCAACGTTGTATATGGACGTTACTCGTCATATATAAGACGAGTACTTAGTTTTAAAAACTTTTACATTAAAAACGTGTCGGTAGGTCGTGCATCTGATTTGCGACATGTATAAAGAATTCACAATTACGTTATTCATTGCTGTCTCATTTAAAAATTCCATAGCACGGAGAAGCGAAGAAAGTTAGTAATATTTTATGTCGAATTTGTAAATATTTACTTTATAAGTTTATAAATTTTTGTTCAAACATAAAGAAATTATTTACTTTAATAACTGAGCGACAACTAAAAATTTCGAAAATATTATGAAAAATTTTCTTCGATACGTGAAACTTAATTAACCGGCGCGATAACATATTTATTTTACGTAGGTTAACGTAGAAATAAAGATGTGTTTTGTGAGACACGTAATCGGACGACAGAGTGAAACGTCCGAAAATAAATCAAGCTACATGCACATTGCAAACGCGGAATTGTACATGCAATCTAATATAAACAGTGGCGGACATATACTTACTAACAGTTAGCAAAATTAAATTTTATTCCTAGTGTACTCAAACATGAAATAGTTAAACAAAAGTCCATTACGTTTTTTACAAGTTTATAGCATATATTATGAAATAGCAAAAGAGTGTTTATGAGAGTGCCAATTTACTATTACTAAGAAGTTTCTTGTGTTTGTTTACTCAAGTGTTAAATTTTCTGCGGACACCTACTACGTACACAAAAGAACACGAATATTTTAACAAGTTTCTTTAACTTATTATTATATCATGTTAATATTTGGTAGCTAAATCCTTGTTTCTAAGAAACTGCGGCATATCTTTGTGGCATGGATTCAATTAGCCGATTATATCAATTAACAGATATAGAAGCTATCGTTACAGTTCCTCAATATTCTTCGACTTCCACTGTTTTACATATTTGTCCACATCAATGCATATTATTTCTATTGAATTCAGATCCAGAGATTGTGCTGACCATTTCATTACATTGATGTTGCGGTCATTTAAAAACGTTTTGATGATGCGTGCGGTGTGTTTCGGGTTATTATCTGCTTGATAGATCCGTTCCTCCGACATATATTCTTTAGCAAGTGGAAGCAGTACATTTTTCACTATGTTCAAGTACGTAATTCTGTCCATGATTCCTTTTATTCGATGAAGAGTACCTATACCATTAATAATCGTTAGATCCCATACGATTACTGATCTACTACTCTCTTTTACAGTTGGTTTTATATAATTCTTGCGATATTCCCTTATAGAAATATCATACTAAGAATCATTGATAATTACTTATTTTCAGTATTAAAAATACTGGATAATAAGTAATTATCAATGATTCTTAGTATGATATTTCTATAAGGGTTCTTCACCTATGCGACATCTTATATGTACTTTGCCATCAGATCCGAATCGATTAAACCTAGATTCGTCAGTAAAAATAACTCTAAACCATTGTTGTTGCGTCCAGTTTAAATGTTGTTGCAAAAGCGATTCTAACTCGGCGATTCTTTTTTGATATTAATGGTTTCTTTCTAGCAACACTTCCATATAATTGAAATTGTCTTTACAAAAAAAGATCGTTATAAATAAATTACAACAAAAGTTCAGCTAAAAGATATTTAAAAAAATATTATTAAAACAACCTTATTCAGATCAATTGTATTCTCGCAAATATTCTATTGAAAAATACGAGACAATTTTATACCTTCTACAAAAGTAATGATATCAAAAGGTTTACGCCAAATACGAATGATTAATCATTTCAATTTTTACTTTCATAAACATATGTGGTTTTGGCTATATAATATATTAGTAACATATTATTAAATTAAAAATAAAATAATTAGAGAAATACAATAATGTTAAAAAAAATTATAATAATTTACTCTTATTATTTATTATTTATTTGTTTATTATTTTATTATTTATGTTCCAACGTCTAAACAGCCTATTTAATTTAATAAATTAAAAGTAGATAAATCGGTAATCCTAATATATATATGAAAATCATTGGAGCATATGTTATATGAGTAGCATTAAAAGAATGGGCACACCAAATGTTTTGTATGTTTACTAAATAAGCTTTTAAAAATTATTTTTTTCCCAATTATGTGTAATTATCAGAAAATAAAGTCAGTAGAATCATAATGTAGTGTTCATATATACAAAGTAATTATAACAATATTTATTGTGTATGAAATTAATTTCACTTTGCGTAAACTGTTTGATATCATTTCTTTTTGTAAACATTTTATCAATAACTTTTTTTATAATATTTTAATAAATATATAAAAAACTGGTGCCACCTCCGATGGGCTTAATCTTGACATATGTTATAGAGGTCATCCTCCTGAGTGATCTTCTGAAGGTTTTAGCTCGTTGTTTATTAAAAAGTTATTAACAAAAAAGGTTGCATAAAATGAATGTAATCTTTGGATACCGTATATACAAAAACACCGAATTTGTAGGTTATGAAGGTCTGCCACTATCCTAAATAACATTCAAAAGGTTTTAATTTATGTTCATTGTTTGTTAAAAAGTTATTAAATGTTGTTAAAAAGTTATTCACAAAAAAGATACATTAATATCAACACAGAGCATATTAAGTGTAGTATGTAAACGATGTTTGTCCCTAGTCGTGTAACTTGGGGGCTACGCCCTCCAGACTCCCCGCACCGCGGCGGGGAGGGCCAAATCTGTTGTACTTCAGCTAAAGAGTGAGAATTTTTCACAAAAAAACTTGCCCCCCTCCCCGCCGCGGTGCATGAGGTCAGAGGGCGTAGCCCCTCAGTTACACGGCTAGGGATAGGCACCTTTTTTTATTTTTATTATTTTCTATTTATAAAACTTTAAATATAATAGGAACACATGTACACATGCGAGCTCGCCCAAGCGTTGTCTAAAAATTACATTCATTTGATCCAACTTCTTTTAGTAATAACTTTTTAACGAACAACGAGCAACAGTTAAAACTTTCAGGAGGGTGACCTCTATAACATATGTTAAGATCAAGCCCATCGGAGGTGGCACCAGTTTTCTATATAGTGGGTGATCGGAAATTCCTGCATTCGGAGAACAGGATATGATATTTTATGCTAAAACAAACAACTTTTTCCTTTAGCAAAATTGCGTCCGACAAGTAGTTTTTGCAGGAGAGCGTGTTAAAGTTAACGAATAAGCGGTCTTGTCTACCCTTATATAAATGTAATACTGATAAGTAATAATTTGGCCAGTGATAATTACTGTCGTTTTATTACTCGTACGAGTAATAAAACGACAGTAATTATCACTGGCCAAATTATTACTTATCAATATTACATTTCTATAAGGATAAGCGGCGCGCGCGCCTCACTCGCGTGTACCTAGTCCGTGACTAGTATTCATAAGTAATGTCTTTTAAGACGCTCATACAGCTCTCTTTTGATTAGTTTACAACGTCTTAAGATTGTATTTAAAACAATTTTAAATAACAAGAATCAACTATAAACAATATCAGAATTTAACTTTCTTCCGTATTGTGTTGCTTAAATAATGAAAAGTTAATAAAATAAGTACTGCTTTTATTTTTTATGTAATACCCTTATAGAAATATCATACTAAGAATCATTGATTAATTACTTATTTTCAGTATTAAAAGTACAGTATTTAGTAATATTCTGTGATTCAAATACAGCTTTTAGTATTCAAGTATTTCAATATTTAATGTTACAAATCCTACCTTATAATTGATTTCAATACTTAAATATTGATATGTAATACTTCGTCCAGTGATAAAATATTTACGCAGAACATTGTCAATATTTAAATACTAATATATAATACTTTGCTAAGTGATGAAATACTTACGCAAAGTACTGTTAAGATTAAAGGTATTAACCCAGACAGCATACAATATTAGTAAGTTATTAGATAAATATTTATAAATATTTATTTTGAATTATTTTTTAAAATGTTATATACAGGGTGTTCAAAAAGTCCCGGACCGGTGAAATATCTCGAAAACTAAGCATTTTAGAAAAAAATGTTTCAGATAAAAGTTGTGGCGTTTAAAAAAATGTATTTACTGATCACATCAGTTTGACCTTGGGTTGCGTAGCGAAGGTCAGGTCAAGGTCACATTAATTTTTTTAAATGGAACACCCCATTTTTCATTGCATATTCTTATAGCACATCTCGAGAGCTTTCCAAAACGCTATAATAAAATATTTTTTCGTTAAGAACTTT